CGAGACACCTCCGCATTCATGTACTGGTGCATCTCGCTGGCGTTCAGGCCGAATTGCGAAGACCGAGCCCACAGAGACGAGCGACGGCGCGATCTCGGCGGCAGCCACATTCAATACGCACGCATCCGTGCACAACTGTACCAGGAAGCCCCGATTCCGAGAAAATAAAATGCCACCACAGACGCACGAAACCATAGGCCTGGTATCCGAATACACAAGAAAGTCAGCGATCCAACCAGCACATGATCACTCTGGGTCCACACCGTCGGAGTCGTCGAAGACGAGCAAACGAGGAGGAAGCCCAGGAGCCCAAGAAGGCGGCGGCGCATCTGAAGTGAAAAGGCGGCCCTCTCCAGGATCAGGTGGGAGCCCGACGGGCACCCACTGTGCGCTGCTCGACCCGCCCTCAGAGGCGACCACAACGGGGGAGCGGGACCCCGATGCGGGCTGATATACTGCAGCCTCCTGCTTGACGATCTCGGATACAGCATCAGGAAAAATCTGCTGCTCAGTGGAGGCGCTGTCGTGCACGTCGGAGTGGGACTCGAGGTCCGAGTGCTCGGCGGTCGGGAGACGAAGAGGCAGACTGCAAAGCCTGGCAGCATCCAGCTCCGCAAGCCTCCAGCCTGCTGCCAGGCCAAGCCCAAAAGCCTGGCCCTTGGTCTCCTCGCCGAGGGAGGGGAGCGTCTCGTCGACCAGGTCGATCGCCTCCCAGACACCCGGCGCCAGCGAGACCACCGGCCCCGCGAACGGCACCTGCCCGTCGAAGGCGCAAGCATCCACCTCGCACACGGAATCCCCAAGCTCCGACAGCGGCGAGCCGAGGCGCGGCCCTTTTTCCGCTCGGCGCCACTCCCGCGGCGGCGCCGCCTCGTCTGGGCAGGAGGCGGCGTGCCACGCAACATTGCGCCGCTTGCGCTCCTCGGGGGACTCGAAGCGCCCTCGGACACGCGCAAGCAGGGCGGGGCGCGCGATGGCCTCCCTGCGGGCCGCCTCGGCCTCTGCAGCACTCCCTGCGCCTTGCGGCTGGCGAAGGCTGGCGATCGTCTCCAGCGCCTCCGCAAGCTCGCGCTCCAGGCCAAGGATCTGCTTCTGCAGCTTCGCGATGAGGTTGTCTGCAGAAGCTCGTGCACCTGCTGCTCCACGCAGCACTTCCCGCGCCATCATGCCCATAAGCCGAAAACCCCGCTCCCCCAAGTCCCCCCCGCCCGCCAGCGTTGCCCCGATCTGGTTGGGGTCGCAGGGGTCAGCTGGGGACAAGGTCCAGGAGCGGGGGGCCTACGGAAAGGCATGAGCCAAAATGGCTACGGACCTCCTCCTCCTCCTCCTCCTCCTCCTCCTCCTCCTCCTCCTCCTCCTCCTCCTCCTCCTCCTCCCTCCTCCCTCTCCTGCTCCTTCTCCTCCTCCAGGGGCGGGCCACGAGTAGTTGCCGCAGTACACGACAGGGGTGGTCCAGGACATGCCGAGCTGGCCTCTGCGCGGGGCGCCAGCCGCAGGTCGCAGGAGGGGCGCCCCTGGCCGAGAGTCGGGTGTTCGTCAGCGTGGGAGCGATGAACTCTGAAGGCGCCGAGCTCACTGAAGGCAAACATCGGGTCGGGCGAAAGGGGGGGATAGCAAGGGGGGGGTTTGAGAATCAGCTCACGTAGCTGATTTTCCCGGCGCCTCCCGGCGCTGGGAGGCGCCCATGTATCGAGGAATGGGCCCCTCGGTAAGGCCGAAACCAGCTGCATGCAGCAAATATCGTAACCCCCCCTTTCCCTATCCCCCCCTTTCGCCCGACCCGATCAACGTGGGAGCGATAAACTCTGAAGGCGCCGAGCTCACTGAAGGCACACATACTGGCTCAATAAGGGGCAAACATGCTTGGCGTCAGTGAGAAGTGTTGGCCTTCCGCGAGCGTGCTGCCGCCAAGGCAACGGTTGCATCCAGAAGTTGGCGGCGAACGAGGGGGGGAGATGAGAAGGAGAAGGCCGTCTCTGAAGGGGCCCTGGGACACACAAATAAATACACACATAACAAATCCCCATATTTTCCCATATGTTCTGGGCTTTTGTCTTCCCCCCCACTCCCCATATTTTCCCATATTTTCTGGGGAATCGACGATTAACTGTGTCTGTGTGTTTTTTCCCCTCCTGGACTGAGAGGGAGAAGGCCGCCTCAGAAGGCGGCGGGACTTCTCAGAGACCCTCCCGCCCTCTGAGGAGTCTCCCGCGTCGCCGGGGAAGGCTTTTGGAACACTTCTCGGGAGGCCGGGGGGACCTCCGGGCCTTCTGAGGCGAGGGGGAAAACAAACCTACCTCGCTTTTGACCACCCTCGCTTCCAAGAGATACCAAGCGATGCCAACCTACGGCCTGTACTGGTCAGGCCGCTTGACGAGGAAATGCGTGGTATGACTTGGTTTTGCCTGGAAGCGAAAGCGGGGTAATTCACGCTCTGAGAGGCCTTCTCCTTCTCCGGATTGGGCCGTTACCGTTTCCACCTGGCTGCCAATGCTTTCCAATGCTCTGCCTGGCCAGAACTACCGAGCAGCACTGTGTACAGTACAGCGAGCCCAGGGCGCTGTAAGCGCTGCAGAGCCTACATGTTTACAGGCGCCACCCTCCCTGGTTTCGGCGTGCGTCCCCATCCCGCGCACTCGCGGTAATGACTACCTGTTCTGAATGCGGCTTGCTCTTTTTCACTCCTCCTCCTCCTCCTCTCTGCCCGCCTCTTCAAGTGGTCAATTCGCTTCCAGAGTGTCCCTCCCGTCCCTCGACCCGCGTCTGACCATTCTTGCGCCCGCTGGCCAAACAAGGTTGGGTTTCCGACGGCCGAAAACAGCCCAAGAGGCCTCCAGGATAGCTGCAAGACAGACCATGAGGCCCACACGAGGGGCCCCAAGTTAGCCTAAGAGGACCCCAAGATCGCCCAAGAGGCTCCCAGAACGGCCCCACGACTGCCTTAGAGCGCCCCAACGGTGCACCAAGACGGCCCAGAGACGCCCCCAAGACGACCCCCGAAGGCGTCAGACGGGTCAAGAGCTGCCTGAGACAGCCCAAGCCTCCCCAAGAGGCCCTCAAGATGCCCCAGGAGGCTCCCAAGAGGCCTCCGAGAGGCCCCCAGGAGGCTCCGAGCAGGCCTCGAGCGATCTCATAAGAGGTCTTCCCTTCGTCTTCATTCTCTCCATCTGGTGTTCTTCCTCATCCTCCTGCTCCTACGGAGCAGACCCAGATGAGATCGAGCTCACGACCCGCCTCAGTTCAGACAGGTCTCTGAACTGTAGCGGGGCGGGAACTTGTCCTCGCCCCTGCCGCGCGGACGAAGACGGGGTCGATTTCACGACCCGTCTCGGCTCAGACCGCCCGTCTGAGTTATTCCGTTTCTACACTCAGCCTCCTTCCTGCTGCGCTGTTGCACATGCGCGGTGGCAGGGGTTGCCGCAAGCAAATGCATAACTTAGCTGCGGAAGCGTTTGCAGAGCAGACTAAGCAGGGTGATACACTTTGAATTCCAACTGGGCACGATCGGAGGGATGAAGCAACCCCTACAGGGAAGTCCCTAACCACCACTACGACTACGAAGTACGTGGTGATATCACATGGTCCTCCTTGTCAAAGGTCGGGACCTCAGCATGTGGTTATGCTACAACTCCTATGTTTGCACGGTCGCCCACTCGCGCCGCGAATCTCAAATAAATCTCAAAGCTTCGCTGTCTCCCTCCGATTCCCGCTTCTCCGATCCCGCTTTGAGACGGCCACAAGCCAGCCCAAGAGCCTTCATGATGGCAGCACACGGCCCCTTCACAGTGTTTCTCCAAAAGGTTCCCCGACAGCTCGGTAGCACGCAGTCAACAAGCATCAACGTCCTGACGCCGGACATTCCACCACACAAGCGATTCGCCAGACGCGTCTTCAACACTTAGCTTCATATTATATTGTAATCCGCCCGCTGATCCTCGACCTTCCTCCCACCTCAGCGTTGTCGTCAGACTAGTACTCCTCCTTGCTCCCTCTTTTCTGACGAGACAGGCATCACAGATGTAGCTTATCCGAGAGACGCCGGCGGCAGCAGCAGACAGGAATAAGAAGACACAAGTGGCAGCAACCGAGACGAGCGAGCAATCCAGCCAGGGCTCAGCAGGGGGAGTCCCCAAAGAAGAGGGCAGCCCCACTCCAGACGCCGTGGACCGTCGACGACGTCGAGGGCCCGCAGAGTCTCTACCCATGGGATGCGACGCGCTGGGGTCCAACAGCTCCTCCTCCTCCTTTTTCTCCTCCTCCTTCTCCTACTCCTTCAGCTCCTGTGAAGCATCCTCACCCTTGACCTCCTCGTCCTCCTATGTCGTCCTTCTCACCTTCGCCGCTTCTCACCTTCTCTCCTTCCTGCTCCTCATAATCACTCTCCTGGACTTGCTCGGCCTTTCCGTAACCGTCCTCATATTCCACCTCGTAGTCGTCGTCGTCCTCCTCTTCCTCCTCACCCTCGTCGGCTGCTCCAGCTTTGCTAACATGTCTCCTTTCCCCCTCCGTCCCCTTCTCCTCCCTTACACGCGTTATCATGCTTCTAGTTTCCCCCCCACTCACGACTCCGACCTGCTCCTGCTCATCCACTTGGCGCACCTGATTGTCGACGACCGCCCCCGCCTGCTCATCAGATGGCGCCTTATTATATCTTCCACCGACTCGCAGGTGCGATGATGTTTTGCCCAACCATCCTGTGGTGTTGGGTCCTCGTTTTGAAGAGACAGCACCCCGCGTTCCTTCCTTCCTTGTTTCCTCCCTTCCTCCCCCTCCTCCCTCCTCCCATCCCTGCATCTGCCCTGCGCATGTCCTCGTCGTCGTCATCATCAACATCATCATCATCAACATCATCATCATCATCATCATCATCATCATAATCGTAATAGTCATCGCCATGCCATCGTCATCATCATCACCACCACCAACATCATCATCACCACCACCATCATCATCATCATCATCAGCATCAGCATCATCATCATCATCACCATCATCATCAGTATCAGTATCAGTATCATCATCATCATCATCCTCATCATCATCATCATCATCATCATCATCATCATCATCATCATCATCGACGTCATGATCACCACCGTTATCGTCACCATCATCGCCACCAACATCGCCACACCCCTTACACGTTTCGTGGCTCCACAGGGAGCTCCACCTGAGGCCCGAATGGCGGTGTTCGCATGCGTCTCCCCCGCCCAAGATTGCGTTTCGCCGTCCCGCATCGAGCTCCACTTAAGGCCCCAGTGGCGGTGTTCGCATGAGTCTCCCCCGCCCAGCACAGCGCTTCGTAGCCCCACAGGGAGCTCCGCCTAAGGCCCCAATGTCGGTGTTCGCATGCGCCTCCCCCGCCCAGGACAACGTTCCGCGGCCCCACATCCAGCTCCACCTAAGGCCCGAATGGCTGTGTTCGCATGCGTTTCCCCCGCCCTGGACAGCGTTTCGTGGTCCCACATCGAGCTCCACCTAATGCCCGAATGACGGTGTCCGCATGCGTCTCCCCCACCCAGAACAGCAGCTTCGCGGTCCCACATCGAGTTTCACGTAAGGCCCCAGTGGCGGTGTTCGCATACGTCCCCCCCACCCATGACAACGTTCCGCGGCCCTACATCGAGCTCCACCTAAGGCCCGAATTGCGGTGTTCACATGCGTCTCCCCCGCCCTGGACAGCGTTTCGTGGCCCCACAGGGAGCTCCACCTGAGGCCCGAATGGCGGTGTTCGCATGCGTCTCCCCCGCCCAAGATTGCGTTTCGCCGTCCCACATCGAGTTTCACGTAAGGCCCCAGTGGCGGTGTTCGCATGCGTCTCCCCAACCCAGCACAGCGTTTCGTGGCCCCACGGGGAGTTGCACCCAATGCCCCCGTGGCGGTGTTCGCATGAGTCTCCCCCGCCCAGCACAGCGCTTCGTGGCCCCACAGGGAACTCCACGTCAGGCCCCAGTGGCGGTGTTCGCATGCGTCTCCCCCACCCAGGACAGCGATTCGTGGCCCCACATGGAGCTCAACCTGAGGCCCAAATGGCGGTGTTCGCATGCGTCTCCCGCACCCGGGACAACGTTTCGCGGCCCCACATCGAGCTCCACTTCAGGCCCGTGGCGGTGTTCGCATGCGTCTCCCCCGCCCAGCACAGCGTTTCGCAGCCCATCATCGAACTCCACCGAAGGCCCTAGTGACGGTTTTGGCATGCGTATCCCCCACTCAGGGCAGCATTTCGCGGCCCCACATCCAACTCCATCTAGGCCAGAATGGCGGCGTTCGCATGCGTCACCCCCACCCAGGGCAGCGTTTCGCGGCCCCACATCGAGCTCCACTTAAGGCCCCAGTGGCGGTGTTCGCATGCGTCTCCCCCACCCAAGGCAATGTTTCGTGGCCCCACAGGGAGTTGCACCCAATGCCCCTGTGGCGGTGTTCGCATGAGTTCCCCCAGCCCAGCACAACGCTTCGTGGCCCCATTGGGAAC